CTTTCATCTTAGATAAATCATTTCGGGCTATCAATTAATAGAACTCCTCCGTGTAATCATCAACCGATCTCGTGCCCTGCCTCAACGAATGAAGTAGCTGAAACAAGGTTTGAGTGTAGCCAAAAGGAAGGAAGTGGCCCTTCATCTTCTCCTAATCAGTGATCTTTGTTTTGCCCTGCTTCTCTCGTGATCGCCTTAACTATTTCCACCACGCAGATGCTCTGCCTTTGAGTTTGATAGCGACCAGTTTCACTTTGACATGATCTGGGACTTCCTTATAATAAAAAATTCACTCCACTTCATTCAAGCAATCGATGAATCCTCGACTTGTAACGTACTAGAAAACTCTAGCAGATTCACTCTAAAACCGAGGTCTCCACAACGATCCTCTCGACCACGGTGCTCCCAAAATTGAGCACGATTGTGATATGGGTTTTTGAAACTGTATTCGGAACCGTGATCTTCAATCTCTTGATCACCAAAATCCTGCATCGTCAGACACCTGGTTAACTCTGCAATTTGCCTCTGCAAATCCTCAATTATTACATCCTGAACGCTACGATCACGATGCAGGACTTCCTCGTTCGGAACCTGCCCACGACGACCATAACCACTAGCCATTGAACTGATGAAATCTCACCCCAAGAAGATGTTGAAGCTCTGATACCAACTGAAACCGGACAAAATATCGATTATTCTACAGGCTAGTTAAACAAATAATTCACAGAAAAGAACACAAGAGAATCGGCCAAAAAGAACTGACTAAGCAGCCACAATTTTAATAAACTTAGAATAATGATAGTTAACCCTAAAACATAGGAAAACATTCTTTAAATACTAAACAATAAGCTGAAAACCCTAATTACGCAAGAAATAATTAAATTACGAAAAAATCCAAATAAACTCAAAATTGAGAAAAAAACTTCGGAAGGCCCAAACACACGTTTCCAAGCCTTTTTTTGCTTTAAACAGTGCCTTTCACTATCATAGGGTGTGAATCTTGTAGAGATCGTCGAGAGTNCTTTTTTTGCTTTAAACAGTGCCTTTCACTATCATAGGGTGTGAATCTTGTAGAGATCGTCAAGAGCTTCGATATGATATATTATAGGCTCTGAAACTCTAAACGGATCAAAAATTATGATCAAAATAGTGTCAACCTTTCTTAGAGTTGGATTCCTAACTGTGCTGATCTGCTAACTTAAGGTATTTCAGTGCTATCAACGTGTCATCTGATAACTCTGTATCATTTGACTCTGATCCTCCTGCTTCACCGTCACTTCCCTGTCGCTTGATCCCTTGTTTTCCTTATTTTGTGCAATTAAAGGGAACGAGACTAGAAAGTCAAAATTGAGCCCGGCGAGGGAATGCTTACCAATATCTAAGTCGTTCTGTTCATCTCTCTTTTAAGGAGGGACTTGGCTTCATTCTCCTTGAAGAAACCAAGTTTGCAGTTCCATAGATGATAACAGGCTTAATACAAATGTTTGTTTGTTAGAATCTTCTTTTGTCAGAATCTTTTGAGAGGCCTTGGTCGTCTCAAATTATTTAAAATCGTTATGAAGCTACTCCTACAAGGAAAGGCCTCCTTTCTTTCATCTAAAACCAGGATGGTGTCCTTTCACATTCAAAAATGGATGGCACCGCTTTCGAGCCAGTTGCCTAGGTTCTTCTTAGGAATGATTTTTTGTTTTGTAAAGCGAAATTTTCCCTTGGCTCGATCTTTACTTAAAGTATTGAATTATTAAAACTCTTTCAGAAATTCTATAAGTTTCTCAAAGAATTTGAGAAAACCGGTGATACGAGATCTTGAGTTTGAGTTTCTGCTTCATTTCTTTCCTTTATTGTCTTTTGTATTGGTTTACATGAGTAAACCGTCCATGTCTTTCTTCTTGTATTAGCTAGGAGAAAATTTGTAGATGTTCCTTTCCTTATTACTTATTTCTTAAACATCATTTTCTTCATTCTTTTATTATGACGTCGTGTACAACAACTTTAACCGCCCAAGCCTGAATTGGGCTGGGCCTACCTCCATCTCTAGAGTAGATGTATGAAGCGGAAGCTTCATGTACGGTTTTGAATCTGAGCTTTTCTAGCAATGGGGCCTAGGGACCGATAGCTCCAACATTTCTACAGACTAGATTGGAGAACAAGACCCTGATTAACTCTAGAGAAACTATGTTGAAATCGACATCTTTCTTGGAATAACAAGAAAATAACATTATAATAAGATACGAATGCGTGGTTGCCATGTCTTTATGGAGCCAAAGAGGACTCAAAGCTAGTCCTTTTTGCAAGAGACAAAAGAGAATCAACTAATATAAAACAAAATGTTGGGAATGTTGGCCCCAAAACCTATATGCTTTTGGTCATGGATCGTTTCCATTATTTACAATTTTATGGTCACTCATTGATTATTGATTATTAAGCAACATTTGAGAACATAGTACAAAGGTTTTGCATTAGGAACCATGCATGGTTTAAGGTCACTACATCGACCATCAATTAGGAGGGCAATAAGGCATCTCAATTGGCGTACTATGGAATGATATCGAACAATATGCACAAAACGCTATAGAAAAAAGAAGTTAAGCATAACGAGAGATTCATGACATAGTGGTGTCGCAAAACGATAAAGACTAGTTCAATAGCGCTATTAGTAGCAATGTCTCTCACGGTTCAAGTAAATCAAGTAATTTGTGAGACTTGCGGTTAATATTAAACATGGAACAATACCGATTTAGAAGGTATTGACTTGGATATAATTCGATTAAGTTGTACTAGTATTGACTGATACTTTGAATCATGTATGCATATAGATGCCATATATCAAAAGCACAATGGTACTTTCCATGCTCGATGGCGTATAATAAATTTATTTATTTTCGTAATTAGTGTTTTTTAAATCTTATTAAAAAGCATGTTTTTGATAGAAAATTAGAAAAGCGTGATTTGTAAATGCGTCATTAAATTAAAAAAATGTGGGTTAATTAGCTCACTTTTAGAGGGACAATCGTAATTTCATAAATAAATTTCAAAAGAATGATACTGGGGGAGAAAATATGAAAATGACACTGGTATGATCATTGATTCAACAAACGGAGGTATAGCATATCATTGTGATCCATGATTGAACCTTTGAAACACTAGAAATCCATACAACTTCAGCCATCCTCTTACATGTGTTGGTATAAACGAAAGAATCTTTGGTGGGTGGGAGGAAAGTTTTGTTTTGTTTGTTTGTTATTTTGTGATCAAGGGGAATTTGGTTGTACAAGGACAAAAAAACCTAAAGTGCTGCCAAAATTACATGGGAAAACCTGTTGCATAAGAAGTTGAGACGTAAAATCAATTTAAAACTAGAGCCAATCACCGAGAGAGTGTTAAGCACCATTGCAAGCTTACATCAGTAGCTCCAAAATTTCTACATGAATGACTATAGCACAAGATCATGGGCAAACTATGTTGAAATCGACCCCTTTCTTGAAGTAGCAGGAAAAAAGTATAATAATGATAATGATGTTTATGTGTAGTTGCCACATGTTTATGAAGCTAATCTAAAACAAAAGACCAGTTACATTTTGACTCTTCAATTATGTTTTTAGTCTCACTTAGTCTCGAGTTTCTTATATTACCCCTCAACTAATTGAATTTCCAATGTCTAAAATTGTTGGAAATGCGATGTGCGAAACGTGACTGTTTAGGGGACAATGTAGGATAGGAGGCATAGTTGAGGGTTTCAAAGTGTAATTTATCCTCAAACAAAATGACTTTTGATTATTACTAGCAAGACGCAGGTAAACATATTTAAATAGTATTTTTTATAAGAAATTTAAATTATATATGTAATTAAAAATTAAATAATAAATTATGTGTCAAACAATTAATTCTTATTTTAATTATTGTTAAACCTAATTATTTGATCTATTTTATCCCCTCTTTGAGTATCTAATCTATCATTTCTTTAAGTATATCACCGACCCATTATTCATTTCTTCGGTTGTTTATAATGAAATTTCATTGTAAGATTGTTATTATTAACTATTTGCACATTTAATTATATGATAAATTTATTAATTTTTTGTCAAGGAGATTGATTAAATTGCAACACTATTGTTCATATTATATTATTATAATATTATTGCATACCAAAAAATTAAATATGACATATATTTGACCATAGATTCCAATTTGATAATTACATGTATATAATAATAGAATAGAAATTAGATTTTATTTATTCATATAAATATAGACGTAGGCATAAAAAACTGTATGAAAGCAGTAGGTATAAGAAATAAAAATTGGATGAAAGTAATAAGAAATTTGAAGTCAAATACATTTAATAAAAGAATTCAAAAAAACTTAAAAATCAAATAAGTATAAAAAATAAAAATTGGATGAAAATAATATGTGGGCATTATTGATTTTATACTAATAATTAGAGATAAAATAAAAAATTAAATTTTTTTTTATAGATTCTGATATTTATAAGTAGTATAATTTTATTTTATTTTTTGGCGTAAACTAAAGCAAAATTGTTGAGAATGTGATCCAGCTGTAGATTGCATTGCTACATTTAACACCCTTCCGTCTGAATTTTTCTGGATTTTCTCTATATAAACTTCTAGATGACCATATCCCACCCAAGTTGCATAAATAACAAACCCAAATCCAAAGTTATGGGCAAAGGGTTGGCAGTGATTATGACACAAAACACCCACTAAAGTTGAAACCACACGATGAAGAAAACAAGAAGGAGATATATTCTTTCGAACAACACGTCTGAAAACGGATTGTTCAATGAAAACATCTTCCTACAAACTTTGGAACTACCTCCTCTGATGGTCCACCAGCTGTAGAATTCCTTATTCTCAACATTCCCTCCTTTTAACTCCCGCTTACCCACTTACCCACCTACCCAACTTGGGAGTCCCAAAGAGACCAATTAATCTTCTTTGCCTCCCATCTCTCTCTCTCTCTCTCTCTCTCTCTCTCTCAAGATGGGTCATACTAATCCGGACACAGCAATTGATGTAAGGTTCACAGGTGGACTTGAATACACCAGCTTGACATACACTGTGACAAAGAAGCAAAAAGATACTGATGGGAATTGGGTGAAGCAGGAAGTGGACTTGCTTCACAGGATCACTGGGTATGCACCAAAAGGGTGCATAACTGCGGTTATGGGTCCTAGTGGTGCCGGAAAGTCGACGCTCTTGGATGGGTTGGCCGGAAGAATTGCCAGTGGGAGTCTTAAAGGTCGGGTATCCCTCGATGGGGTCGATACGAGTCCAAGCTTGATCAAGAGGACTTCAGCATATATAATGCAGGATGATAGGCTTTTTCCGATGCTCACTGTTTATGAGACTTTAATGTTTGCTGCTGATTTTCGTTTGGGGCCAATCTCAGGGGCTGATAAGAAGCAGCGGGTTGAGAAGCTGATCGAACAGCTTGGTTTGACAGTAAGTGAATCAAAACTCCAGAGTTGTTTCTAAAAAAAATACTTCATAGAATTAATCAGGTGAATTCAAACTCACTGCATACTACATAGAATTAAGAACACATAAATTGGTTCTCCAATGGCTCTTTTTTGCTGTATTCTTTCAAATGGGTCGTCTCGTTATTTTTTAGCTTTCGAAAGTCATTGGGACTACTTTCTTGCGCTAAGACACACCCATTAGTCGGATCAAAGTCATTTGTTCTATCTTGAACAGTTTCTCAAATTCAGACATTTTAGCACTACAAAATAATTAGAAACATAGCCAAACCAATTAGATATTCAATACGCTCGGAAACACCAAAAATAAAACTTACAAAGTCACTTTCCTATGCTGCTTAAAATTGATAGAAGCACAAATAAACTTCAAGCATTTTTGTTTGTGCTCTGATCCTTGGATGCCGTGGTTATAGACATCTCGGAATACTTACATCGGTGACGAAGGAACTCGAGGAGTGTCTGGTGGCGAGCGTCGAAGGGTGACAATAGGCGTGGACATCATCCATGGACCCTCACTCCTCTTCCTCGACGAGCCCACATCTGGCCTGGACTCCACCAGTGCACACAGTGTGATCGAAAAGGTGCACGACATTGCGCGTTCTGGCAGCACCGTGATCCTCACAATCCATCAACCTTCATCTCGAATCCAATTGTTGCTCGACCATATGATCATCCTGGCTCGTGGTCAGCTTATGTATCAAGGGTCACCTAAAGATGTTGTTCTTCATCTTGGCCGAATGGGGCGAAAAGTCCCCAAGGGGGAGAATTCAATAGAGTACCTTATTGACGTGATACAACAATATGATCAGTCTGAGCTAGGAGTAGAGGCACTGGCGGAGTTTGCTCTTACTGGAACGAAACCTCCACCATTGTCAGAGGAGGAGATGTCTCTATCAACTGTCATTCCGTCGCCGGTTCCTGCTCGGTGGTCCCGGAATCAGGGAGATGGGCATGGAGACAAGTCCGGAAAGCGGCTTCACTTGCAAACTTGTGCAGAGAATGAGAAAGATTTTGATCGCAGTGTGAGGAGTCCATGGAACCAATCAAGGTCTTGGAGTGCTAGCCAAAGTGGTTTTATGCAAACACTTGGGTTTACACCTTCTAGGCAGCGGAATGATCATAGAACTCAGAACCCAACTAGGTAAACCATCCCTTTCAAGTAGATATTTGTCATGCATTCGTCATGTATAACTTTTTATTAATAATATACACCACATGCTAGTGCCATATAGTGCGCTAAATCTACTGAAAAATTTCTCATTTCTGCAGAATACATGTAGGGTACATTGGTTAAAATGTTAATTCAAACTCAAGTGGACTCGAACCCAAAACTTTCAATTGAAAGCACCACCTATTTTTTAAATTCTCATCTTGGGTTGCAAATCTCATGTTAAAATCGGGTTCAAGTAAAATTTTGAATTTTTGATTTCCTCAACTCGAATTGAAATGCAAATTTAATTTAGATGAAAATGGGATTCAATTTGAGCTTGAGTTTCAGTTGCATCACTGGGGACTGAAATTCAAGATTTAATTTGACTTAAACTTACATTTTTTAATTCTCCTGTTAAACATAAACTTCCATCAGTAATATTATTTGAACTTAACTTAAACTTGCATTTTCCATCACCGCGTATCGTTAACAAGTGACTGACTTCTATTCTCACTTTCTCGTTTCTATGGGGTTGAGCAGTGCATCACCGGGCTACTACACCTACTCCAGTGAAATCCTCGCCGGAACTCCAACACCTCACAGCAGCGACTACACCGTCAACGAGAACGACTACCTGACCCCCAATGATGCTGCGACCAACATGGCCTACCAGCACATCGGCCCAAAGTTCACAAATTCCTTCTTCTCCGAGACATGGGTACTCATGCGCCGGAACTTCAAAAACATTCGGCGAACGCCGGAGCTTTTCCTCTCCAGACTAGTAGTCCTCATCATCATGGGCTTCATGATGGCCACCATGTTCAAAAACCCCCCAAATGATGCCCAAGGAATCACAAATCGCATCAGTTTCTTTGTCTTCACAGTCTGTCTCTTCTTCTTCTCCTCTAATGATGCCGTCCCAGCATTCATTCAAGAGCGTTTGATCTTTATCCGCGAGACGTCCCACAACGCATACAGAGCCTCATCGTACACCATAGCCGGATTAATCACTTACCTTCCTTTTCTTGCTCTTCAGGCTTTAGTTTACGCCCTTCTCGTCTGGTACGCCTTAAAGCTTCGTGGACCCTTCATTTATTTCTTGATTGTTCTCTATGTCTCTCTCATCTCCACCAACTCTTTCGTGGTGTTTGTAAGCTCAGTGGTGCCAAATTATATCTTAGGTTATGCAGCAGTAATTGCTTTCACTGCTCTCTTCTTCTTGTTTTGTGGGTACTTTCTGCACAGTAATGATATTCCTCCATATTGGAAGTGGATGAACACTATCTCGACCATGACATACCCATATGAAGGGCTTTTGATGAACCAATATCAGACCACGAGTCCTTTTGATAAGTATCATAACGTGTCTGGGTTTCAGATCTTGAAGGCGCTGAATATTAATACTGAGGAAGCTAAGAAGTGGGAGAAGGTTTACATAATGTTGGGTTGGGCTGTTCTATATAGAATTTTGTTCTACGTTGTTCTCCGTTTCTTTTCCAAGAACCAGAGGAAATAGAGATCGAAGTGGGAAGGTGTGATTTTAAATTTGTTCTTGCAAACTTCCATTTAGTTTTCAATGTTGAACCTCTCTATGGTGTTTCGTTCTTCTACAATATACAGTAACATGTTGATTTTGTGGATAAGTTGCCACACTCATGGTAGAGTTAGTACCAGTAGAGTTGATAAGTCTACTGGTAGGATTTGACATTTGATACTGTAATTAACTGGAATTTCATGTATGGTTTTTATATTTAAGGTTGTTATTTGAACTTAATTTAATATAATAATTGGATTAGTTATGAGCTTCATTTAATATTAGAACTCACCACTAATTTAATGATTGTATTGAAACCGTCCCCATATAAGGTCCCTATAGCAAATGAATTTCTAAAGCTTTTTTGTTTTCATCTTCATGTGAATTATTCTGTTTGAGATTAAATTCTTTTCATGCAGTCAATCAAAATTGAGAAGTTATACAAACACAAATCAATGTTGAAGATTCCCAATGAGTTTGTGCAGCTCCTCAATTTTGATTGACAAGTAAACAGTTTATTTACGGACAGTCTCTAAAGAATCTATTCTCGTTTTGTTTTATAAGTTCCAATATTTTCCATGACAAGATATGTAAACATCATATTTGGCTATGAATACAGTTCTTCCGACAGGTTGGGTTTGTTGGTTTTTGGAAACATTCGACTCCCATTACTAGATGTTCTTGTTGATCACTTACTATGATGTTCTTGCTGATTTTTAGTTGTCATTCGATGTCTTGGTTTTAACTAAGTTTGAAATTGCTTGTTTATCACGAACTTTATATTAAAAGTGAAAATTACAAGGCGGGTCAGTTTAAACAATTTGTTTTTGTTTGAAAAAAAAAAATTTGCCTAGGCCATATCATGCCTAATTGACAATGTAGAATGTTAGGGGTATGCCGAACAACGTTAAAAACAATGATGTAAATATATATATATAAAAAAAAAAGAATTGAAGGTTTTTTTTTTTGGACCTATATACATTATGATCAACTGATGATATAATATATGCACATCAACAAGAGAGATGATATTTTAACAGTATGGTTCATTGACCGCTTCATTAAAAGGACAACCTTAGCTTTCGNTGATGATATAATATATGCACATCAACAAGAGAGATGATATTTTAACAGTATGGTTCATTGACCGCTTCATTAAAAGGACAACCTTAGCTTTCGGGACCTATTAACATATAATCAAGGGTTTATGAACCCGTTTATTTGTTAAAGTATTTGAATGTTTATGTTACATCATCTTTAACATAACGTAAGATTTTAGATGAGTACGTGATTTAATATAAAGAGACTTTTCTTTCGATTGTAGTAGAAGAAAGATGAATTATCCTTTTTTGTCTGTCATTGGAGAGGGAGAAACTTGTCCCAAAGTTTCAATGGCTCAAATCATGCCCATAGATAATATTTCTGTCTCGAAAAAGTAAGAGAAGTTCATAATTCCTATAGCAAGGCTTGGGAAAGATAAGCGTCTGCCAATCTTCAAAATTTGAAGCAGTAGATTCTAAGATTTGAAATTGTGACGTATTATTTAAGGAGGTGGGCACTTATCATCACTTTAGGCTAATCAATGCGACAAAAAATCATTGAACTTTTACATCATTAGTTGACGAACTTTCCGTTGTTGGCAACTTTAAAACATAAAAATATTGAGCCTAAATGTGGTTGTTGAATCAAATTATCAAAGTTTTGTTCCCTTGTTTTCCGGTCTTTGTTTTCGTCATCACACGATTGTAAGTGCAAGCCATGAAAACACCAGTTAGAATGTGCTTGGCCTAAAATATAAAATTTCAAGAATATTCAATGCATTTACATTTGGTATTCATAGATTTATTGAAGTGTTACGTGGCAGAATTTAGTTACAGTCACATTTGAAAAGAATAAAGTAACTAACTAAAAGTTAACATTAAGTAACCATCGAGAGAAGTAAAACCATTGAAAAAGATGGCAATAAAAGGTCATTCAATGAACGAGATACACACATTCAAACCTCCAAAAGACCTATGATCAGAGTATATTTAGAAGTACTTTTAGGTTAGTTTAGGAAGCAGTTAATGCTATATTCAGGACTATTTTATTTAGTTTCTTGTAACTGAAGTCCTTTCGATTTGATTAATAAAAGAATTTTCTTTTATTAGTTCTTTTTTTAATTACCTTTTGCACAGTGAGAATCTCCATTACTTTCATCTAAAGAAATCCTGAAATAAGACATTTGAACTCATTCCAAACAGTCGCTTAGAAACTATCTATCAATTGGAAGATTTTCCTTGATCCCATCAAATTTTGGTACAACAATCTGTAAGACGTCGTATTAAAATTAAACAAGGATAATATTATATTAAGAGTTTTCATAAAATGAATAAATTGATGGTAGAAACATAAAATTATTGTTGAAAAATTGATTATAAAATTTGAGTTTCAAGCGTATTGACTTTCAAAGTAAATTGAGTTTTGAAAATGTTTAAGTTTGACTTTAGATCAAAATAAGGTTTCCATTGAATTAGAAAGGTCGAAAAACATTGGAAGAGGTTATATGAGTTGTATTATAAGTTTAGAGAAATTCTAGAGTTAAAACTATTTTGGAGAGGATTTTGGTAGAAAAGAGTTTGATACTATATTAGAATTTTGGCAATAAACTTTTATCCCAATGTATGATTGACCTAAAAAATTTTACAGTATAAACTAGATTTCAAAGGCTACAAAAGTGTATTTCACGAAAATTTTATGAATCGGCCTCTTACAAGATCAAAATTGATCTAAAGTCAAAGACAAACTGTTACCTACGCCCAGACGAAAATTCTCCATTTTTAAGCCTATAAATATCATAGGACGGCGAGCTAAAGTGTCTTTACCTATATTTTCAACCCCAAGAATCCTAAAAAAGTTTGAAGAGAAGAAAAGGAAGAAGGACATGTTGAATCTTGAATGATTAACACGCGGTAATTGCAACAAAATATGTTATGATCAAGATCTTAAGAATCAAGGAAGATATTTTTTCTCAGATTCATTCATTGATATTTAGGATCATATGATATATCTTTTTCATCCTTATTATGGATAAATAATTAATCTACAATGATTGTACATTCTTTTGAATCCATGATTTGTTTCTTGAACAAAATACATGATTCTTCCGGGATCAATCCATTCTTGATTTAAAATCTATTTCTTTTGACTCTTATTCTATATATGTGATAGATATAGAAAGTTTTTACATTCTTTTTTTAATATATTCTTAAATTCTTGAATAAACAGATTATTTACATACAAATAAATGTTTTACATCCAAAAATCACATGTTCTTGACTAAAGAACCCTGGTTCTTGATTTATTATTTAATCTTCACATGTTTTACATCAAAATTTATATGTCTTAATTACAAAAATCCTAGTTCTTAATTACCATCAATTCAAATATGTTTTCTTGGGGATCTTTTGTATGTTTTCTTGAATTATTCATTTGAAAATATTACGGAACTATGATTCTTAATTGTAGTTGAATTTTATGAAAAAGTTGTGTAATTTATCTCTTGTATGGGTGAATGTGATGAACGTGAATTGCACCTGAATCTATATCGTAGAGTGTTTAGATGTTTTCTCTTTCCTCGAGGTTTGAAGGTTTTCTATCACTTGTAGTGAGGTTGGTGCCTTGCAAGGACCAAACTACTATTCGTTCACGGTGATCAAGGTTAGGGGTTAGTATACTAGTCCTAAGAAGGATTTGTCATTGTCGATGTGTTAATATATGCCCTTTCTAAAGTTTTATGGCCTTGCGAGGATTGATTTGATGGTTTGCAATTATGATGTGGTGTGGACCAAATATGTTCATGTTGTAATTTCATGCTAGTCTACGTGCGTACATGAGATATAATATTTGTGAATAACTATTGCATTGTAAATGAGTTTTACTTCTATGAACTTTACCATTTGGTACTGTAAATTTGAGATCTCATTAAAGGTCATTGTTTTACTTCAGAATTATATATATTATTTTACAAACTATGACTTACCTATTTTCATGATTTTTAAACCTTGTTTTGGTTTGAGAAGATTTTTTACTGGGCTTTATTGCTCATCCTACCATAACATTTTTTAGATTTTAGTATGGAGGAGAATCTAGAGTAAGATGAGCTGGTAGATTGAGAGGCTAAGGGGGATCATGATGTAAATTTAGCTGTGAAAGTTTGAGAATGAATTTTAGTCTTTAGAGTTTATATTTGACAATTTACTTATGTTAAGGATTTATTTATGTTTTTTTTTTCAGATTTATCTAATCAGATGTTGAATTATGAATGATTTTATTTATTTAATGGTACTTTAGTATGCTCTCATGGTTGGATGTTATATAGATAATTAATGTCTTTAGGGTAGATTTTGGGGCATTATAAGTTTGGTATCAGAGTTTAGGAATTAAGTCTTACATTGGAGCTGCAGGTTGTGAATTATCATTGGAGTGTTAGGTTAGATTGAAGAAACTCTACACTTGAATTTGTTTGAAGTTATATGTTTATAAGATAAATGTAATTTATTGTTTAGTTTGGTTAGGAATTACTTATTTGTTCTAATTCATGGATTAGCTTGTTTAAAGGAGTTGACGAAAATTTTGGGATGAATATACTAGTTTTATGTCATGTTATTATGGACTATTCTAGGAGATGGATGGTAATTTGACTTTTGATTTGTAAATAATGCTATAAATGGATATTTATGCAAGTGATATTACCGATATTGGAGATGAGTATGAGATAAGATTTATGACAAAAAACAGTCAAACTTGAATTGGACAACCGTAGCAGAACCATCAGTCGAGTCAAGCAGACTATCTTTCACTAATTGGACCATAACTCTTTTTTGAAAAGTCCAAATTGTGCACCGTTTTTCTATTAGAAACTTAACTCATATATATTTTCAACCATATAAGTCACACACGCTAGAAATACCTGAGTTAAATTAATTTATTCTCCGAAGTTG